TTTTTTTTTTTTTTTTTTTTTTTTTTAGAAAAGCACTACCCAAATAAGGCTGTAGCAGTGGGAGCAATGAAATGACTCTGTTTAACAATAGTGTAATGTCTCATTTTCATGAAATCTTCAAAAGCAAGCAAAAGCAAGTGTCATTAGATAGGGTCCTTGTTAAAGTTGCATGAAAAGAAAAAATATTCCATTGAGCCAATAGATAGCAGTGATTCTGTAAATGATAGTGAAAGTTGTCCTACATAACAACCTTCCTCTCTCTTATCTTCCCTCACACCAGCCATGCTGCTTTTCAAAGGTAAGTGCAGGTTGTTTTTCTTTATATTTTATATTTTAAGTCTTTGTATTATAGTATTGTAATTTTAAATGAATATTTTGGGGTTGCAGAATGAATCTGAGTTTCCATTATTTCTTATGGGAAAATTCACTTTGATATACAAATGCTTTGTATTCCAAGAATATTTCCAGAATGAATTACGCTTGTAAACCAAGGTTTTACTGTACTGTATTCAAAATACAGAACAGTTTGCCTTCAGTTTTCATCATCTGGTAATCATCTTATTAAAGAAAGTCAGATTAGTTTTAGGTACTACTTAAGAGCACCTCATGCCAACTCAGCTTTCACCAGCTATGCATTGGTTGCAAATGGGTAAGGATAGGGATATAGTAATTTAAGGAAATGAAAAACGAGTATGCTATTGGTTAGCTGCTCTAGGTAATTGTGGTAAATTTGTCTTAAAGTAATTATATTGTAAAAGTGACGTATGATTAAATTCCCACAATGATGGAAAAGCTTTGGAACATATCTTCTGTTATGCTTTCTACATGACCAAATGCTTCTATGTGCACTTTCTTAATTTAAAAATTGTTTTTATCTAGGTCCTTGGCAGGATGGGAAAGACCTGTGAGATGAAATACAAAACGCTGGACAGCCCTTTGGGGAAAATAGAAATATCTGGCTGTGAGCAAGGACTGCACGGGATAAGGCTGCTCAGCCAGAAGTCCTCTAGCACTGAGTAAGTGTGAGCACCACTACTGACTGCCTGTGAGGCATGGGCTAAAAGCATGGGAAGGAAATGCAGTAAATGTGATTTCTGCTTGTTTTCCATTGATTGCAGAGTAAAGCAGACCCTGACACTACCAACCACAAATATTAGTGTCTCTGAACATGGTCTACTCCGATTGTCCTCTCATTATCAGCCGCCATGTTCTGCCAGGGAATCCTCCATCTCTGATTAACCACACGGATATAGGTTTTGATTAGTAGCTCTGAGACATTTGATTTATCTGCACTTCTACAGAGGAGTTGATTGATTATGAGCTTTGAGCACTTTGATTCCTGACTCCAGGTGACGTAGTAGGGGAATGTCTCTGGAAATTTGGTAATCAGGAGGTGTGTGCCCAATCTGGATCTTAAAAAAATCAAGCTCCATCTTCGGTCTGTCAGGAGCTGTTAGACGAGGCTTGCATGGATGTTCTGGAATTGCTTGTGAGGAGCTCTGTGGCTTTCCTGGTGGCGTGTGGAGCTGTGGGTATGCGTGTTGTGAGCACAACTGCCAGGAGAAAAGCCCCAGAGTTCTTTCCAGGGCCACTGAGAATATTGCTGTTTCTTTGCAAGAGGATATGTTTTTCTCTTTTTGCATGATCCTGACGATATTTCTCTAATTGTAAAAACATAAAAAATTTAAAGCACTTCTTAATGTTTTGTTCTGAAATGTAACATTTAATTTCCTCCATTCATTGATTGTGAGCAGTTGTATTAAAATTGCAGTTCTAGTTATTTCTGACAGAAGGAAAAAAAAAACACCCACTCCTATAGTTGGTGTTTTTCTTAACTGGCTAATAAACACAATGCCAAGAACATTAGATAAAGAAAATACATAAGAAACATAAAAATTGATTTTAATGGACCCCTGTCAGAGACAGCCATAATGAGCACAAGTGCAGCAATAAATATCAGCATTCCCCTCCACTGTCAGGGCTTTTCCTGTAGAGCTGCATGTTACAATCAATATAGTCTTTTTTGAGACTAAAAAATAAGCAAACCTTTGAACTGTATGAATACTCTCTTCTCAGTTTCTACGAGAACCATCTGGTTGTGGTGTTCAGAAAATCACAGGCACCAAATAATTTGTAGGGAAAAATGTCATTTTGTCTCTTAGCATGTTCAGTTGCACAATAAATCATAGAAATTACGTGTGAGGTTTTTTCTTTTGGTGAAAAAGTAAAGGTACTCCTTACAGCAAATTGGGGGGGAAACCCCTAAAAAGTTTGCATTATAAGATATTTGGTTTATTGCCCATTATGGATCATATAAAAATGGAATGAAGAGGCTTAATTTTGAGTTCTTAGTTTGTGAATTGTCTGAAGTTAGAATCAGATTCAGTTGTGAAAGCAACTACCAAATAATAACCTAAATAAGATGCAGGTGACATCTGTCAGGAAGGTGTTCTGGTAGTGAAAGCAAAACTATGGCATGTGTATTTTTTTAAGGCAAAAAATGTTAATATATGAGTTGTATTTTTCTAGGCTAAAGCCTCAGTATTCAGGTTTAATTGCAGTGTTGGCACGTTACAATCAATGCGTGGGTTTGGGATTGCAGTTTGGGCACTCAGTCTCTATTTTAGTGTATGTACTGCCGAAGCAAGTACTGGGCACTCAGTCTCTAAAGGATTTGCTATCACTACTCTAGAGGCTGGAGTCTTGAGAACTTTGGGTAACTCAGTGGTCTCCCAGCTTTCCTCTCTGTTCTCCAGACTGAGACCCCTGCTTAGATCTAGAACAGCCCAGAAACTTCCCTCGTGTGCCTTTAAGTCAATCCTGTCTGTGGGCTCTTGGTCAAAACTCTTTGGGGTGAAACCGTGTTGTAGACATTCCTTTTCATTTATGTTGAATAAATGCCAATGTGGGGAATTACTGATGATTATTTATTTCACTTGATAAAGAATTTGCCACAACTTTCCCCAAAGTTCTGTCATTTTACCTGTAATGTGTGAAAGTTTTCATTGCCAGTACTTGGTATTGTCAGGTTTTAAAATTGTAATCCTTTAGGTGAGTATGAAACATTAACTTGTTGAGGCTTCTAATCTTCACTTTCAAATCTTTTGCCCATTTCTATCTGATTTGCTTAAGTTTCCCTTGTTATTGGTTGGTGGATTTGAATACATGTCCTTTGCCAGAAACATGAACCAATTTTTTTCACGGTTGCTTGAATTTTTGTTTCGGTAATAGTGTCTTTTGATGAGCGTTTCAGTTTTAAGGAAGTCAACTTATCAGTTTTTATCTTGACTTTGCGCAAGTTTTTGTCTTCTCTAAGAAATATTTACTGTGATATCACCAATATATTTTCCTACAGTTTCTTTTAAGAACTTTATCTTTTTAGTTTTTTATGTTTAGATATGTGACCAATTTTGAATTACCCCTTAATGAGGCACAGTTTTTTTTTCCATATTGTTATTCGGTTTAGCATTTGTTGGGGGTGGTGAACCCAAAACTTTGCTTTCTTCATTGACTCACTTGATGTTTTTGACAGAAGACCCTGTGTCAGGTCTTGTCCTGGGAGCCCTGTGTGGTTCAGCTGGTCTTGTTTTGTACCAGCTCCATGCTGATGTGGCTACATAGCTTCAAGGTAATCTTGACATCAAGTAGGTTGGGTTGGCCCTTTAACTGCCATTTAAAAAGGTTGTTTGGGCTTCTAGGTCACTAAGTTTCTCATTACTTTGAATTAAGTTGTCAAATTTTGTGGAGATTCCTGTTAGGATTTTGATGGGGAGATCTGTGTGTCAGTTTTGGGAGGTTGACATCTCGATATTGAGTTTCTTAATTTGTGATAATGATTTATGTATATGGTTGTGAGTTCTCTTTTATTTTCCTCAGCAGTGTCCTGTAATTTCCAGCACAGAGACATTGCATGTGTTTGGTAAAACTGATTTTTAAATACTTTATTCTTGAGAGCAGCCCCCTTCCCCCATGATTTTACTTTCTGCTGTTTATTCAGCTGGGGTCCAAAAATATTAAATGGAAAATTACAGAAAGAAGCACTTAATTAGCTGTGAGATGCATGGCATTTGGTGTTGTAAGATGAAATCTTGGCCCATCCCACAGAGATACATATTATCCCTCTGCCCAGCATATCCACACTGCCTATTCATCACCTCATAGCCATGTCCATTTTCAGATTCACTGTCACAGTTTTCACAGCCTGTGTTCAGGTAACACTTATTTTACTTAATAATAGCCCAAACCATAAGAGCAGTGATCCTGGCAGTGCAGGGATGCTTTGCAGGAGCCTCTTATGCCACAGGGGTCTTGAGCAGAGGATCCTACTGTTACCCTTCTGTGTGATTCTTGAATCCGGGAATCGTTTTTATTTCCTCCAAAGCCTTGTTACTTTCTTCAGAAGATGAATTTCAGCTTGACCACTAAAATTCCCTTTGCACTTCTGTACATGTCTAATTCCTGTTCTCACATTGTAAGTATTTCATTTACCTGTGTATATGGCTTCATGCATTGACTACTGTTTTCTGTTTTCTGTAGGTTGCATTAATGAATGACCTTTTTATTCCTAAAACATCACCATCAGTTTAGAAAGTGGTACTGTAAATGGTTTTAGTTTTGTAAATTCCTCCCCACATCACATTGCCACTAATGACTGCCATATACAAGAGCCTGTGGGCTTCGTAGGAGCTGGACTGACCTCCTCTACCCCCATGTTATCTGCCTCTGCTTACTGAGTTTTAACTCATTCCTTTACCCCACAGTGTCTAACATGTAATGAGAAAGTTTGTGATACATATGTTTATTTTCCTAATGTTATTTTGATGCTTGTTTAGAGTTCCATAAAGTTGTCTTCAGTGTTTGATGTGAAAAAATAGATTGTAATGTAAGTATGAGCCAGGGCCATAGAAAAGGAATAGCAGATGAACTGTTGGGTCTTGGGTGCTGGAGGGAATTGCATGTGGCTCATCTTTCATGTATCAAAGATTTTTTTTTCATTTTTCTCATACAAACCTTTTAATAAAAATATACAGGTACAGTACTGATACAAATTATGTAACCTAACCAAAATATGAACTGTAAAATTGTTTGTGTCCTAAAAACTTTGGCTGTTTCCTACTTTATAGGACTTACTTGGTCTTCTTGTGGCAATGATTCATTAATGATGAACATCTGCCATTCTGTATCGTGCCCTGGCCAGCTCTGGTGCAGAGGCTCGGTAGATGCATTCAGATAAGGCCTTCCTCTCCTCCAAGGGCTCAGCTGGCCACACAGGGTCTCCTGTTCCAAAGGCTTGGCTCTTTTAAGGATGAGGCCACCCCTGCATGGCCTCATGCTATTCCTGGGAAGAGACTCATCAGATGCCATCAGATGTGCTGTCATCTTTTGTTCTGCACATGTGCCAAAGCCATTGTCATGTTCCAAGATGAAGACGCCTTGAGATCTTCAGAAGGAAAGCAAGGCTCATGAAATCACTTTGGATACTTCACTTTCAGCAATAGTTTTTAATGCTTTCTGCATGCATTTGCTTCTTTCCTTCATGTGTGTTAAGTAATGAAGTTGGACTTTGAGAATTATGAGCGCCCTAGGCTGGCATGTGACTACTGTGTGCTCTTCTACCTAGAGAACTCTCTGCAGGGCAGCCTGATGAGTTTTAGCTGAAATGGCTCCTTAAGATCCACTGACTTGAAACCTTACTGAGAAATTCATAAACTTGGTCAGAAAGACAGATTGAGAAATTTAATACAGATACTTGCAGAACTTTCTTACAATTGATCTGACAAGGAGGAAAGAAACTTCTCAAGGACACACCCTAGCCAAAATCCCATCTGAGGGTAGCTTTGCAGGTTTCTTACCTGCAGCAAGTTCAACTATCTTGCTTCGGTAGCTTGAAATATTGGTTTGTGTTGTTTATACTTTAAAATGTAATTATATTACTTATAGAGTACTCCTTAAGGAGGTCTCTGGAGTAAAATAAATACATTTCTATGAGGAAGACTTTGCCAGCTCTCCTTAGCTT